CGGGCCCCCCCTGACCGGCCTGGCCGGCGCGGGGGTGGGGACAGTAGAGGGGGAATGGCCGCGGCCCCGCCTCACAGCTGGCCCTTCGCCAGCGCCGCCATTTTGTTCTCGATGGAGAGGGCTCTGGCTGGGCCGGACTTCCCTCCTCCTCGTCAGCCTCCTCATCCCTGTGGTCCCTCCTTCCCTCACTCCCTAACTCCTCGCCCCTCCGCTCCTCCTGTGCGGTTGGCGGCCGCCTCGGCCCAACCGCCGTTTTTTCTGAAGGGGAGTGTGGCAGGCGGGTACGGAGTGCCGCCTCGTGAGCGACGGCTTTGCCGGCCAATTGCTGCCCACACAGGAGGGCCGGGACCTGCGCTCCTTCCTCCGAAGTTCTGCTGATTGGCTCGGGCGGGAGAGGGCGGTCCCCGCGGGGCGCTGGAATCCTGGCAGGGCGGGAGCAGGGGCGGGGCGCAGCTTGGGCTCCGGGGTCATGGGGGCGCGGCCTGGGCGGGAGCCGGGAGCACAGGAGAGCCGGCGAGGGGCCGCGCGGTTTCCCGGGGCCTGGAGCGCGTCCAGGATAGGTGATGCCGAGCAGTAGTGATAAAGGCGGCGAAGCATCTTGAGTCCACGTCGCTGACTCGTGGGGAAGACTTTTCGCAGGCTGGACACCGTCCAGGGCCCGGCTCTTTCCTGTATTTCCGGCGCACCCGCGGGCGAATCTTGAGGCTCAACTTCGTAGATTATAAAACGGGGAGAATGGGCGTTCTTGCCAGGCCGGACCTCCCTTCTCAGGACCGTTGAGTGCTCTACTCGGAAAATGGAGTCAAGGCTACTTTGTGAACCCCAGAGTGATGTAAAAATGGTGTTATTGTTGAAAATCGGGTGTAGAAGCGCCAGGAACGGAAAGCTTAAATGTATTGAGGGCTTGAGAGAACACAGGTGAATCAGGTAATTCTCTTCTCATTCATTGATTAAATGCTTGTTTGGTTAGTTTGGGGGCACTGGGGATACATCCAGAAAACTAGCTAGACAAGGCCTCTCTCCCCTCTTAGAATTGGGGATGGGGTTGAATAGGCAAATAAAAGTACGATTTCAGAGAATGGCAAATATCTGAAAAGAAATGGAACTGAATTAAAGAAGATATGAGGAGACAAATTTAGTTTGGGTGGTCAGAGAAGGCCTCTGTAAGGTGGTGCTTGAACCGAGGAACCTAAGGGGGGGCGGGGTGGGGGAGAGAGAGAGAACAAAACAAAACAAAAAAACACGAACCACAGGTGTAAAGGAAGGAAAGCATTTGATGTGATTGGGAACAGGCTGTAAATTGGTTAGAACTAGTTTGTTGTTCTTTCTATTATTTTACTCTATCTCCAGGCTAAAGTATGTGAAATATGACAAAGGTAATAGTAAATCTTCAATTTAACAATGAAAAAGAAAGAGTCAAGGAAAATACAGCCGTAAATGAGTTGCTGATAAATATATGACTTGGGGGGAAAGCCTCAGAAAATCACAGATTCAAATCCTTTGTCAGCCCCTTATATCCATCTTCAGTTCATCAGGTATTTTCGGGCCCCTGAATACCTCCGGAATTAGGTGCCAGACTGGAATACAGAGATGACTAAAACGTGTGAATGTGGTTCTATACACAAGTTATGTTTTCTCCTCTCATCCCCATATATACATACACACACACAAAATGTTTTAAGCCAAAGTTAATTACTGTGTTGGTTAACAGTGTCAGCATTTACTAGCTGTGTGACTTTGGGTATGTTACTTAACGTTTTTGAGCCTTACTAGATCCTTCTAGAATTGAGGATTAAGTGGGTCAAAGTAAATAAAGCGCCTTGCACATAGTAAATACTAATAATTGGAATTAAAGGATATAAATGGTGAAATTTTTAGTCATGTGGTATAGGGGCAAAACACTGGATTGGAACACTGGGGTTCTAGTTTTGACTGTTCTGCTTTTGGTTATTAATTGGCATCCAGACCAAAAATTTGTTTAGAAAACAAATGGAACCAATAGTCTAGCAAAAAGTATGGGTTACTTTACAATTTACAAGACTCTTACAAGCATTACGTTGTTCATACCCAACTAGAACCGATGTAATTGTGGAGGTCCTTTTCCTGCTGTTTTAAAACTTTCTAAGATGTTCCATCATTTTCTTATCGCTGTACCCCTGACCCCCGCGCTCTAAACACACTGGCTTGCCTTCAACTTCAACCGTGACTCACCTTAACCCCAGGCCCTTTCACATGCTGTCCCCTCAGCCTGAAATCCTCACAAGCCCTCTCCCACCCTCCCACCCCCATACACACACACCACACACATACACACCCTAGTCCTGCAGATCTCAGCTCAAGCATCTCTTCCTCAGGGTAGCCCTCTCTGATGCCCAGTGCCAATCTAGATCAGATTCTTTTACTACACTGTATTTTTCCATTATAACCTTAGTCTCACTTTGTAATTATACTCCATTATATGATTGATCGATATGTGTTCCCCTCATCTTGAGGTAAACTGCATGAGAGCAGGAATTATTTTGTTCATTATATTTCCAGCATTTAGCAGAGTGCCTGGCACTATTTGTTGAGTGAATTAATTGATAATTTAAGATATCACTGGTAACTAAGTTACCGCTCATTAATAGTATCTTTTTGTGGGGGCTTGTTTGGCAATTCAGATAGCAGTGCCAGCAATAAAATGTCTGTTACAGTATTTGGATGATTTTAGAAAGTGGCCCCTCACAGATGGCACTGACTGGAGACATGAATTTCTTTTTACCCACTTATATGTTGATTTTATGTTTAGTTTTTTTTAAAGACCAGAAATAGATAACTTAATAATAAACTGAATTACAAAGTAAATTAATGAGTTCATATGGAACTCATTAATAAACAAATAGTCCAAATATAACCATGTCATTTACTTTAACTCAGCGGTTCTCAACCTGTGGGTCGCGACCCCTTTGGCAGTCGAATGACCCTTTCACAAGGGTCGCCTAAAACCATCCTGCATATCAGATATTTACATTATGTTCATAACAGTAGCAACATTACAGTTATGAAGTAGCAACGAAAATAATTTTATGGTTGGGTCACAACATGAGGAACTGTATTTAAAGGGCCAGAAGGTTGAGAACCACTGCTTTAAATGAAGAAACAAAGCACCAATATGATTTTCTTGAAATTAAAAATGCTAGTCATTGTTTCTCTATCACAGGGGAGAGAAGTAGGTTTGCAGGGAGATGAGAGCTGAAAGTCTCTGTGGTCATTTTTATTTTTAAAAAATTTATCTTTATTGTTGAAAGTATTACAGATGTCCCGTTTAACACCATTGGCCCCCTCCACTCTGCTCTAACACTCCCCGCCCTCCCTCCCTGCAGGCCTTCACCATATTATTGTCTGTGTCCATAGGTTATGCATATACACATATAAGTTCTTTGGTTAATCTCTTCCTGCCTTCCCTCTGAGGTTCATCAGTCTGTTCCATGCTTCCATGTCTCTGGATGTACTTTGTTCATCAATTTATTTAGTTCATTAGATTCCACATGTAAGTGAGATCATGTGGTACTTGTCTTTCTCTGCTGGCTTATTTCATTTAGGATAATAGCCTAAGCTACTCTCTTATTTATATATATGTTTATTTATTCACTTACTAATTTATTTATTATTTTAAATTTATCTTTATTGTTGAAAGTATTACAGATGTCCCGTTTAACACCATTGGCCCCCTCCACTCTGCTCTAACACTCCCCGCCCTCCCTCCCTGCAGGCCTTCACCATATTATTGTCTGTGTCCATAGGTTATGCATATACACATATAAGTTCTTTGGTTAATCTCTTCCTGCCTTCCCTCTGAGGTTCATCAGTCTGTTCCATGCTTCCATGTCTCTGGATCTACTTTGTTCATCAATTTATTTTGTTCATTAGATTCCACATGTAAGTGAGATCATGTGGTACTTGTCTTTCTCTGCTGGCTTATTTCATTTAGGATAATAGCCTCCAGGTTCCTCCATGCTGTCTCAGAGGGTAAGAGATCCTGCTTTTTTACAGCTGCATAGTATTTCATTATGTAAATCTACCAC